GCGTCGGCGAGCTCGACGCCCAGCGGGATGAGGACACACTTGTGGAAAGTTCAATCGCAATCCTGCCAAGGCCTTCGCCGCCTCAAAAGCGCGCCATAGCCCTCGAAGAGAACTCCGAGCCTGAAGGGCGCACCCCGCGCCATCAGCACAGACGTGTGCAACGCATCATGCGGTGGATGAAGGGGTCCATCGCAATGGCCCACATGCTGCCCCAGGCGGGGCATCCTTGGGCGACCCCGAAGGAGGTGCACGCGAAATGAATCGCGGCGCCCGCCATCTGCGCGTACGCCGCGGGGGGCCAGTAGAGGGGGGCGAGCGCGTGCAGCCGAACGCCGGCGAAGCCAGAGTGCACCAAGATGGCCATCATCCAGTCAACCATCAGCGACGGGAAGGCATCACCAAAGTCGAAGAGGGCCATGACGGGCTTGAGCGAGTCCTTGCCATCCTGAAAGCCAGCCGCTCGCGCGGTGCTGTCGACGAGGGTCACATTGTCCAGGAAGTTGCGGCCCTTGAGGAAACCCCTCTAAGGGGCAGGAGAGGCCCGCTCCACCGCGCCCTTGATGCTGGCGGTCGTGGCGTCAGCGACGAGCTTGCAGTCGGCGTTCTTGAGCGCGATGGCTCGAGTGGCGCTGGGGGCCCTGCACGCACCTTCGACGAAATCCTCATCTAGCGATCCGCTGGGGGAACATGCCAACGGGCGATCGTTCCAGTCGGCAGGAGGGACACGCCCCATCGCGATCTCCAGCGCCACCTCCTCGAGCACGTCAATTGCAGCCGGGCAGCAGCGCCAGGCGGGGCCGGGCAACCCGTCAGGGCCAGGCGCGGACTCCTTGGCTCTGCACGCCGCGCGCGTGAGAGCACACCGACCAGGCGGGGGGGCCTCCTCCGCCGGCAGCTTGGGGGCATGAACCTTAAGGTACTTCTGCGAGAGCCGCTCCCAGTCGGTGACCTTGGGCTTCACCTGAAAAATGGGGGCCTGGTGGTCCTTCAGCGCCTCCAGCATGTCGGAGGCCCAGTCAGCACCTTCTCCCGCTCGCCGCCGGGAAGCTTGATCCCCCGCAACGTGAGCGAGCGGCCGAAAGGCGCCCAAAGTGCAGCGCGATTGGACAGCTTCCTTCGGAGCGCGCTGAGCATCCTGAAGGACGCGGGGTCGAGCGCCTTGATCACGCGCTCGGCAAGCGCTGCAGCCCTCGCGTCGAAGTGCATCTGCTGCTCCATCGCGAGGTCCCGTGCAAACGCACGGGGGGGGGCCTCAAGTTGACCTGGGGGCCCGTGGCGACAATGCACTGCGAGGCGAAATCGCACGTCAGCATCAGCCGGCGACACAGCTGGACATCATCTCGCCAGACTGCTCGACTGATCGCGCGGAACACCATCCAGTTGTTCCCACCACGGGGGTGCCGCAGCCGCAGATCACGAACATGCCGAGCGGCCGCCCGCGTCAGAGCTGCGCGCCGCCGCCGCTTCGCGTAGACGGACAGAGGCAGCCAGTCCACCATGGCGCGGAGGCGCCCATGCTGGCGCTTGAACTCAGGATCCTTGAAGATATGCAACGCGCGATGGATGCGCCCAGGAACGATGACATCATGCACGAATCGGGCTCTGCGATCAACTTCAGCATCGCAGGGTTTGAGCTAGGCAACACCAGCATCAATTCGGGGGGTAGAAACACACATTCTGCAGGGAACATGCAACCGAAGAGCCCGTTGCAGCTCGGCCGACGTGGCGTGAACCTCCTGGATGGGCCATCACCGAGCCCTTGCGCAACGTAAAGGCAAAATACTTGAGCTTGTGCTCGCGGACACCGCCAGCGCGCCTGTCATGGCAAAGGAGCGCGCGAGCATTCCACGCACCGAAAGATGGGCTTCGCCGCGAGCGCCCGCGGTCTCCACGCCGCGAGCCGCCTGCGAAATCGACGACTGAACTCTGTCCGCCTCGCCGTCGATCTCCTCGAAGGCCGCCTCGACGGCATTATTGTCCACGCCTGTGTCGGTGACAACGCGGTAGTTCCACTCAAGGACCGTCGGCGCGGACGAGACGTCAGGATACAGGAGCTTGATGGCAAGGGGGGGGCGCGCCATCTGCCTGGTAGGCCCTGCGCCCGGACCAACTCCAGCAGCCGCTTCGCCTGCGTCTGCCTCCTGACTATCTGCGCATTCTGGACCAGGCCGACGAAGACGGACGCGCGCGAGCCCGACGGAGTGGCGCACGAGATGCGCCTCCATGTGCCTTCGGAGCCCTTGAGCTGCCTGAAGGCGCGCTGGGCCCGCCTGGCCGCAGGCCCCCCCGCTCCGAGAAACTGGAGCGCGAACTCCTGGCCAGGAGGGTCACCAGAGAGCGCCCATTGGTCCTCCGAGAAGCCTCCGGCGCCCAGCCACTCCTGCAGCGATGCCTTGATCGCGCCCTGACCGACTGGCTCCTTGGCGGAGACCTGGAAGATGGACTGGTTGGGGGCTCTCGCGAAGTTGGCCATGTCGGCGACGTCGACGCCGACGGGGGCCGCCTGCTCGCGCCGGTGCGCAATCTTCCGCAGCTTCGCCAGGTCAGCACGCACGTCCCCGCGCGACTGCTCGAGAACGTCCCGGCGCGGGCCCAGGTCGCGCACGCGGAGGCCAGTCTCCTCGTTGAAGGCCTCCTGGCGGTCGGCGAAGGCGCGAATGGCCCTGGCATCTCGGCAGCGCCCTCGCGGGCGGAGGCGCCCGCCGCGGTGGAGATGTCCGCGCGAAGCTCCGCGAGGATGTCGTTGAGGTCACACCTGAGGACGGGGCGCTCATCACGCTGACGCCGCGATCCGCCAGGAGCGGGGGCGGGCGGGGGCAGCGGGGGCCGACGCGCCAGCAGCCGCGCCCCGCCAGGGGTCGGCATGCGCAGGTATTTCACGGGCAACACGGGCTGGGCGGGGGCCGCGGCTGGCCCCCTGCTTCGTCGAGTCGGTGCCGTCGCCGATAAAGTGACGCCGCGCCGCGCCCTGCACCTCTCCAGCGCGGCCGCGCCCGCTGCGCTGAGGGGCGGAACCAACATCATTCGCGCCATCCGGCATAGGGCCAGCAGGCGACAGGACGGAGTACAATGGAAGGGTACGTCACTCAAAGAAAGGAATCCTGAACACCGCGGGGTCGCTCAGCGCGGCGGAGGCGTGGGCCGCGACTCCCGCGATGCAAGCTTGGGCGAAACACTCCGGCCATAGTGGCCACGGCTTTATGTGTATATGTATGTGTGTACGTATGTGTATATGAATGTGTATATGCAGATGTGTGTATGCGTATATCCATGTATGCATGTATATATATATATATATAAAAATATGTATATGTATATGTATGTGTGCACGGGTATGTCGCCGTACATGTATATGGATAGGTATGTATGTCTGCATGTAGAAATATATACATCTATATATACTCATATGTATGTGCGTATATATGTACATGTTTCTATACATATTCATACAAACAAGCATCCATACACATTGACATATCAAAAATGCAACGCATTGCATAATTAATATGAAGACGCACATGTGTAGTACCATCTGTACATTCGCATGAGGAAGAAGAGGATGATGAGGAGGGGAAGAGGAGGGGGGGAGGAGGAGGAGGAGGAAACGGAGGAGGAGGGAGAGGAAACAGGGCCATGGTGCATGCCCTGCGACTGCTAAGGGCTCCCGCGGGGCATTTTTTCTGCGCTTCCGGGGCACTGTGAGGAGTCTCGGGGAGCCCAGGGTGCTTGGGGGGCATTCCTGGGGTTGTCCTGGGCCGACTGGGGGGCCATAGGGGGTTTCGGGGGGGCCCGTCCGCGCGGGCCGGCAGGGGCGGGGGGGGCAGGAAATGCCTTCGGTGGCCGCGACGCGCGAGGGGGGAGCGCGCTTCGGACCCGCCCGCCCCCCCGGCGCGGTAATCTCACTTTTTCTGACGGGCGACGCTGGGCTCTGGAAAGGAACGGCGGGGGGGGGGGCTTCGAAACCCACCCCCTCGGCGCGGCAATCTCAGCCGCGAAAGGGAAGAAGGGGGCGGCGGCTTCCGAAACCAGCGCCCCCCCCCCCCCCCTTCCCCCTCTGAACGGGAAGCCCGGGCTGACCCGTGGCCCCGAAAAGGCAAAGGGGGGTCGCTTCGAAGCTTCCCCCCGCGGCGAGCCCCCCCCACCCGCTCCGAAATATATGCAAGAGGAAAGCGAGCCTTCTCGGAAGCACCCCTCCCCCTTTCCAAATGAAGGGGGGGGGGGGGGCGCGGCGGCGGCGGGATGGGCGCGCGCGGGGGCGCTCGCGCGGGGGCGGGGCGGGGCGGCGAGGGGGGGGGGGGCAGGGCGCCACAGGCGCGCCCATTCGCAAATGCCTCTGCAGGTGCTGACCGCGGGACTGCGGCGCACTTCCCAGCCCCCTTGCGACGCGGTCGTGCTCGTCGACGGCCTCGGCGACGTCCTCTTCGGCAGGGGGGGCCGCTATCGCGCGATCGCCGCCGGCGTCTCGCAATGCCTCTCGCGCGCGCATTCCCCCCTTCCGCGGCGGCATCGCCAGATCATGTCCATTCAGCTGCCGACGGCATCGCGACTGGCAGTATGTTGTAGCATCTCCTCTTGGCCCCCCACCCCCCTTTTGCCGCCAACTGTCGGCGCGCCCTCCGCGCCTCCGACGCTGCGCCATGCCCCCCGTCGCCTCCGACAGCTCCTCGTTTAGTTGCCGCTCTCTCCCGTCGCGCGCTCGTCTCCTCACTGCATCGCGCAGTTCGGTCGCCCTGCGCAGGCGATGCGCGCTCTCCACGTCGCCGTTAAGCGCCGCCTTCGCTCGTCGCCTGTCTTCTAGTGCCAGCGCCCTGCCTTTCGCGAGCTCCTGGTATTCGATGGGCATTGAATCGTCGGTCGCTACGATTTGTTTCGCACCCACCTCCTCCTTGACGCTAGCCAGCGATCTCCATCCGTCGGCCCGTGTCTGAGCCCCCCGCGGAGCATGCGCAAAAACTGTGACTGCCTGCGCAGCCCATGGCCGGTCGCAACTGCCGTTCAACCTCGGTTCTGACAAGGGGGGCCGCGCGCTTGGAGCTCAGCGCCCTAGCCAAGCCCAGGTGATCCTGAATGTGTCCGCCTCGTGTGCTGCCATGGTCCAGATGCACTGCGATCTCGTAGTAATGGGCGGTGAGGTCCCTCGGCTTCTTGTCTGGCATCGCCAGCGATCTTCTGATCGATTGGTACGATCGCACGAACGTCAAAACCCTGTCTATGCAGTCACGGGGGAAGCACGCGTGGTCGAGCCAATTGGCCCGCTCATTGCCGCCATGGTAGCTCGCTCCCACAGGGAACGCATTGTTTGCGATCGTCATGGCGCGACTCTCGCACAACTGTTTCGCCGCTCTGCCCGCGTAGTGCTCCTGCGACCTCCCGTGTGCTCCTACTGCGGTCGACGCGATGCGTTGTGCTGGTCCTCCTTCTCATTCCATTCCTCTCCCGTCGCTGGCGTCCACGCCTATGCTGGCGCATTGATTTCGAGGGGGCGCTGCTCAAGACCTGGTCCATCATCTTCATGAACTTGTCCGTCGCGTTATCGATGCGCCCCCTTTCCCGCTTGATCGTTCGATCTGGAGCAGCAATGCACGGGATGATGGTCATATCGAAATTGTGGTCTCTGAGCCGTAGAGCTGCAAATCTACCGCGAAGACCTGGCGCACCACTCCGCGTTAACACTATGCGATTGGCGGTGACAGTGCCCTTTCGCAGCAAGGTCGATACCCCATACGATCCATTGGACAGATCGTTGTTGCTTACGTCGCCAAAATGGATGACTCTGCATCAACTGAATCAGGGCTGCACGCGAAGCTCGCCACCGATCCACGTCGCTCTCTGAGTGTCGATCACTTTGATGACGCCGGCGTTCTGGAATGCATCCGCTCTCTCAAGCTGTTGGTCCTCCCTGCTGCAGGCGAGAGGGTTCCAGACAACGAATCGCATCCACGCGAGTGCAAGCACTCGCCACATCACTCCTCTGGTCTGCGCGGCAGCTGGGCGGGCCTGCCCGCCCACATTGGCCGAGGATGACCGTGCCGAACGGAGCCGAAGCGCGGTCGCGGCGGTCGCACGAGCTGAACACGCGTGGCTAAAAGGAGGAGGAGGACTAGGAGGAGGAGGAGGACGACGAGAAAGAGGAGGAGGAGGCGAAGGAGGAGGAGGAGGAGGGAGAGGAACAGGGGGGGAGGAGGAGGAGGGGGAGGAGGGATAAGGACAAGGAGGAGGAGGAGGAGGGAAACCAAAACGCTACAAGTGTGGTGTTTTGAATCAGACCAACGTTGGAACATTAGGAAAGAGGGGGAGGAACAGGAAGAGGAGGAGGAGGAAAAGGAGGAGGAAGAGGAGGAAGAGGAGGAAGAGGAGGAGGAAGAGGAGGAGGGAGGAGCACGAGGAGGAGGAGAGGAGGAATAAGGAGAGGGAAGAGAAGGAGGGGGAGGAGGGAATATGAGGAGGAAAAAATTAATCCGCCGGCCCCCTTGTGGGGCCACCAGGCTGTAGGCGCGGGTTCGCAGTTTCCTGTACCAGTTGTAGCTTGTAGTTTCCAGTGTTGCAGTTCTGCTTCTTGCTGGTTACTGTAAATAGTTGACTTCTTGCTGGTTACTGTAACTAGTTGATTGACCGCGCGAGGGGGGGGGAGGCCCAAACAAGACTTTTAGCGTCCCCTGGGCGCGTTGTCTGAATTGCTGGGGGGGCTCGAAATCGACACCCCTCACGCAGATCCGCGGGGTCAGGGTCCAAAAACACAAGGGATTTGCCACATTTCTGAAATTCGGTGCCACCCCTCACGCAGATCCGCGGGGTCAGGGTCCAAAAACACATGGGATTTGCCACATTTCTGAAATTCGGTGCCACCCCTCACGCAGATCCGCGGGGTCAGGGTCCAAAAACACATGGGATTTGCCACATTTCTGAAATTCGGTGCCACCCCTCACGCAGATCCGCGGGGTCAGGGTCCAAAAACACATGGGATTTGCCACATTTCTGAAATTCGGTGCCACCCCTCACGCAGATCCGCGGGGTCAGGGTCCAAAAACACATGGGATTTGCCACATTTCTGAAATTCGGTGCCACCCCTCACGCAGATCCGCGGGGTCAGGGTCCAAAAACACATGGGATTTGCCACATTTCTGAAATTCGGTGCCACCCCTCACGCAGATCCGCGGGGTCAGGGTCCAAAAACACATGGGATTTGCCACATTTCTGAAATTCGGTGCCACCCCTCACGCACATCCATCGCAAGGCGTGGTAACCCAAACTGCGAGTACTCCCTCGGCCCTTTAATCCCAAGGTGTGGTAACCAAGCTCGTAAACCATACACGTCTTACCAATCGCCCTGTGTGGTAACCCCTCTTGTGATCAGTTGGTTTTGCCGATTGCGAATCGGCCTCGCATGAAGTTCCGATACTGCTGCACGACAGCGCCAAAGCCTCATGACTTAGCTCTTCCATGGCCCATTCTCCGAGAGAGGGGGCCGGCGGCAGGGGGCGAAGCCCTTACGGATAATAATAATGATGATAATACTACGAATAATGATAATAATAACACGAGTAATAATAGTAATCGTAATATTAAGAGTAATACTAATAAGAATAATAATAATGATAATATTATTGATAATCATGATTATCATTAATAATAATACTACTAAACCGAAGAGGCACACTAATTCGCCGTCCCCCTCCCGGGGCGCAAGGCTGCGAAGGTGCGTGCGGTCTGCTGTCATGCCTTATGTGCTGTCATTTGGTGATTGGCCCTTTGTCGCTCCAGTTCTGTTTCCCGCCTCTTGTTTGCTGCCTGCTAATTGGGGGGCCCCGCCGCGTCACCAAACAGCCAATGGATGGGGTGAACCTCAAATACTGGCTGCTCCGGGCCACCCCAAAAGTCTCATGGTGACGCCACCGCGCGGCCAGAACAGCCCGAGAGGCCTCCAAAATTGCCCGAAGAGGCTCCGAAGAGAGCCGCAGGAGCCCAAGACGGCCCAAGATGGCCCGAAGATGTCCCACTATGGCCCAAAGGCGGCCCAAGATGCTGCGAAACGGCCCAAGAGGCCTCCAAGAAGCCTCTCAAAAGGGCCCCACGAAGCAAACATCAGCTACTTCCCAAGCGTTGTTGAAGGTTTTTGGCCTTCTCGCCTTTTGGGCTTTCCGACGCTCCGAGACGGACCAAGAGGTCCCCAAGATCGCCCCACGACGGTCCTAAAAGCTCCCATGACGGCCCAGAAGGCACCCCAAACGGCCCGAAGACGGCCGAAGAGGGCCCCAAGACGGTCCAAGAGGCGCTCCAGACGGCCCAAGACGGCCCCGAGGGAGGCCCAAAAGGGAGTTCACGAAACGAAAACTCTACGTTTCCGTCCCGAAAGGGCCCCAGGAGGCCCCAAGAGAGTCGCAGAGGGCCCTGAGAGGCCCCCAAGAGGCCCGTAAGAGGCCCCTGGAAGACCCCCAGGGGACCCAAAATATGCCCCAAAAGGCTCCAAAACGGCTTCCCAAGAACTTCAATCATGCCCCGCAGACGCTGCCGAGAAACCTGCCACGAAAAGCACCCACGGCGCTATCCAAGCAGCCGCGAAAAGCTGAGACTAATGATATGAATAAGAAAATAATAATTTTGATAATACGAATACTAATCATATAAGTAATAAGAATGTGCATATTCATACTACTCGAACTACGGATACTATTAATGGTAAAACTGTTATTGAAAATCAGTATAGCAAGAAACCAATAAGTATAAAACTAAACATAATAGTAGTACACCTCATCAAACAATAACCATGAAACATAATAATACACATGCTACCAAAAAAAACATACTAATCATTAAAAAATAACAAACTAATGATGCAACACATACTGCAATACTACAATAGAAGAATCAATCCAAATACCACATACGCTTCGGTCCCAGCTCACCTAAATCAGGGCTGCGTCGAAAAGAAGGACGACGCCGCCGGGCAACCCGGGTAGGGCGCCTGCAATCAAGCGCGGCTGGGCTGCTCGGGTCCCCCAGCAGCGCGTTCCGCGCCGCGGCAGGGAAGGGCGCGGCCCCCGCGGCCTCCGCCAGCACGGCCTCCGGCCCGCGGACGCCGAGGGGCGCGCGCACGTCCTCTGCAGAGTGCGGGAAAGGAGGGGAATGGGGGCCGCCCAATGTCAAACAACTGCTTGTTTTTTCTCTCTGCCTCCCCCCCTTCCCGCTTCCTGCCCCCCTCCTCCTCCTCATCCTCGTCCTCGTCCTCGTCCCCCTCCTCCAACTCCTCCTCCTCCTCCTCCTCCTCCTCATCATCATCATCATCAGCATAACTGTCTCTCGTTCTATGACTCCGCCGCCGTTTCCTCCTCCTCCTCTTTTTCGTCTTCCGCTTCCTCCTCCTCCTCCTCCTCCTCCTCCTCCTCCTCTGCTCCTCCGCCTGCTTCAAAGTATTTGTCCCATGCCGACCAAGGCCTGTGACCACTAGCGGGCAGCAGACTACGCACAAGTAAACAAGCACCATTCAGTTTTAGTGCAGCTCCTGGTTGGCTGGACGTTGACCTTTGCGCTGCGCTTTCCTTAGCTCCTCAAGCCGCTTGGCCCAAACCTCCACCGCGACAGGCGCGAGACCAAAGCTCACGGCGAGCTGATGCTCATTCCATTCCCCCACGCCCCACGCCGAACCGACGCCAATCGCCCCAACTTCCCCACCGCGGCGGGTTCAAGACAGAGCCATTCAAGCGGGCAGCAACTTCGAGATCGAATCGGGGGGGCAGGCCGTGGCTCCCCGATGGTCAACCCTCGGTACTGCGGCGCCCATCCTGGGAAGAGTCTCTTTGCTGCTCTGGCTCTCTGACGTTGCAGCGCCATCGCCGTGTCTCCCGGCGGGGGGCAGACCTCGCAGATGGCGTCTATGCCCCCCCCCCAACTGCGCGCCCCACAAGACGGAAGAAAAGGGCCGCCGCGTCTCTGGGGGCCCGCCTTCCATCACCACCGAAAACAAAGGCGCGCTTGATAGCGCGCCTGGGGAGACGGACAAGGGCCCCCAGCCCCTGTTGGACCCTAGGCCCAAGGGCGAAACGCTGACGAACACACGTTGGGGGGGGCGCAGGAGCGTCCGAGGGGGTTGAAACATATGACCTCGGGGCCCACCTCCGTTGGGTCCTTAGTATCACGCACTTCTCCGCCCGCCATCACGACGCCCCGCGGCACCGCCCGACGCTCCATTTCTTTGGGCCCCTCCCTCGCCCCCTCCCCCCGCCTCTCCTCGCCGCCCCCTCTCGCCCCGCCCCTCGCCTCCTCGCGCCCCCCCTCCCTCGCCCCCTCCCCTCTGCCTCTCCTCGCCGCGCCCCTCGCCCCCCCCCCTCGCCAACGTAGATTCTGGACATGTTCCTGAGGACTGAAAGCAATGACTGAGATAGAGCGGTTCCGCTACCGCCCTGGCTGAAGATAAATAGGATTTCTGCTCTGGTAGCGGAGCGTCCGGCCCCCACGCGCGTGCGGCGCCCAAGCCACACATCGGCGGCGCCATATACTACCACGTGGGCAACCCCACGATCACCGTGATATTCTACACGGTCTACGTGAACATCCTTACGATCTACAGGACGATCGACCAGCCCGAGCTGAGGGAGATCAAGATTCCTGTGAAGTTCAAGACATACTCCTTGAACATAGGGTGCCACACCAGGTATCAAGATCACGATTTCGACCACTACAATTGGTGTTGCAGTTCATTCTATTTCAGAGTGGGACAGTATCATCATTCACACTAGGTAAAGACTACGGATATACTTCCTCTTCGGCGTCAGCGACACTGGAGACATCAGTATTCATACCTGGTAAATGTTACGAACATTCTTCGTCAGCATCTCTGGCACAGGAGACATCATCATTCACAACAGGTAAGGACTACGATAACTTCTCTTCTTCAACATCTTGGATACAGGAGACATCATCATTCATACTTGGTACGGGTTACGACAATTTCTCTTCTTCGGTATCTTCGACACTGGAGACAGAATCATTCACAACAGGTAAGGACTACATCAACACTTCTTCTTCTATCGGATCAAGAGAAACGATGACGACACCATGGAGTGGAACGGTATCGCTAGAAGAATCGACACAGAACACGCCGCCAGGATGAAGACAGGAATACAACGATATTCGGTACGCAAGTACCTCCAGAACCTCTCCATCTGGTGGCGCACTGAGAACGAGCCTGAAAAGACGGTGGCAACAATACTGGTGCTATCACGAATTCAGGGTGGAGTACGGAAGCAGGCTTTGAGATTCACGATCAAGAGAGACGGCCTTAACTACGTCGGCGAGAACGTGTTCGCCCTACCAGCACTGCTAGCGCAGCCAGCTCAGAACATCGAGGCCCAACCCAACGGACTTTCACAATTCACCAGATTTTTTGGTCAAGAATACGGCCTTCACGAACAGGACAACGTAACTATCCACCTGGACAAGTTCTTCACGTTTCGACGCGGCCAGAGAGACCTGGCCCAATACATCGCAGCCTTCGAGATGGTCTACGACGAAGCGTCAGAGACAGCAGGCTTGGAGACCAACTCGATAGGACGCTCGCACCTGTTACTCTCGGGCAGCGAGCTGCCACAACAAAACATCGAGGACATCGAGCTGAAGGTAGACGGCGATCTGAACAGGTACGGAGAGATTAAGGGCCTACTCAGCAGGATGGCGAAGTCCGACCAGATCAAGAACTACCACGATGTCATCGGAGGCTTCTAGCACGGAGACTACTAGTACGACGACGAAGACTGGCATTCCTGGGAAGATCACGGTAACCACTGGGGCGACACTGACTGGTATGACGACGATTGGCGCTCTGGGTGGGAAGATCAATCCTGAGAGACTTCGACCGACCAGGAGTACGAGTACGAGCACGAGGACGGCACCTACAAGGGCAACGAAGGCAAAGGCAAGGCCACAGGCGGACAAGGATATTCGAAATGCGGTTCCAAACGGCATCACACACCAGGCTGTCCGGCCAAAGGCGATCATCAGAAGAACAATAACTCGGACCAATCGCCGCCTGCTCGTCGGGGGTCGCCGCTTCCGCCCCAGGGGTCGCCACCTCCGCGCAGGGGATCGCAGCCTCCGCCCCCCCTCCTCCTCCCCCTCCCCCTCCCCCCACTCCACCTCGGGGGTCTCTCTGCCTCAGCTACTGTTCTGCCTCGCCCTCCTCGTCGGGTGGTCTCTCTGCCTCTCTCTGCCTCGCCTTCGTCCTCGTCCTCGTCCTCGTCCTCGTCCTCGTCCTCGTCCTCGTCCTCGTCCTCGTCCTCGTCCTCGTCCTCCTCCTCCTCCTCCTCCTCCTCCTCCTCTTCCTCCCCATCCCCCTCCTCCTCTCCGCGCTCCCAGGGCGAGCCACCTCCTCCGCGCTCCCAGGGCGAGCCACCTCCTCGCGCACGTCGGCCGACGCGTCGCGGTCCTGGTCAGCCTGCGTATGCCTCCTGCGGCGCCGCCACCTGGGCATGGAGCGGTTGCTTCGTTTCTTCGGCCGTTCTCGCCCTTCCTGCTTCTCCCGTTGCGCGGAGTGTTCGTTTCGTTTCGTCGGCCGCCCGTGCCCCCCCTGCTGCCCCCCCCACGGCGCACGTCCTTCGCGTTTCCCTGTTTTCTTGCCCGTTTTGCTCTTCTTGACCCCCCCAATCGTCTCTTCCACCTGGCGGCCCAGCAGCCTCCGACACCTCGCCTTCTATTCCTCCGGCCGTATCATCATCGCCCCCTTCTCATTGCGCCCCAGCAGCCCCCGGCGCGTCGCCCCCGCCCCCCCTCGCCGATTCCTCATCGCCTCCCCCCCTCCCCCTGGCGGCCCAACAGCCTCCGACGCCTCGCCTTCCCCCCCTCATCCTGCTTCCTCATCGCCTCCTTCACCTGGCGTCCCAGCAGCCGCCGACGCATCTCTTCCCCCTGGCGCCACAGCAGCTCCCAGCGCGTCGCCTCCGCCTCCGCCCGCTGCTTCCTCGTCGCCTTCTTCCCCCGGCGGCCCAGCAGCCCCTGCCGCCTCGCCCCCGCATCCGCGTGCCCTGCTGCTTTCTCATCGCCTTTTCCCCCTGGCGCCCCAACAGCTCCCGGCGCCCCGCCTCGCCGTCCTACCGTTGTTTCCTCGTCGCCTCGTCCGCCCGGCGGCCCAGCAGCCCCCGGCGCATCGCCTCCCCACGCTGGCGCTCGAACGCTTGGAGACGCCTAACCTCCGACAGATGGCTCGGCATGTTCTTCTGGGTTTCCGCAGGCGGGGGCGTCATTGGCGGCGCCCCTGGTGGGCGAATCAAACGGCCATCGGCGCCCCCCACCATGGGCGGCGCCAGCAGGCCCGCGGGAGTCGCGTCGAGAACCTCGCGCACCAGGCGTTCCCCGCAACAACCGATCAGTCAATCGATAAATCGGTCGACCAGGTCGGGGTCGCCACCGCGATCGGTTTTCTGTTCCCGCGATCGATCGGGGGGGAATCGATCGCGGTGACGACCGATCGGGTCGACCAATCGGGGATCGGATCGATCGGTCGGGGATCGATCGGTCGATCGGGGATTGGTCGATCGATCGGTCGGAAAAGAGAACATGCACGCGCGCATTCGTCGTGATCGCGCGCGTCGTTTGACCCCCCCGACGACGACGACGACGGCGACGACGGCGACGCGGAGACGACGACGACGACGAAACGCGCACGCGTGCGAGCAACGCCGAAGGCAATGATCGATCGGGGATCACAATCGATCGACGATATCGATCACGGTGCTCGCCCGGGTCGCAGGCCAGCGCGCGCCGCACGCGCGGCATTCCCGACCGCGCGCGCGGCCGCCCCCCCAGCGCGCGGGGGGCTCGAGTAATCAATGCGAGGGGGGGGGGGGGGGGGGGGGGGGGGGGGGGGGATGGAATGCGACGATGACCTGTGCATAAGTGAGCACGCACGTATGCACATATGAATATTAAAGACTTGAGTACGCGCATGTATACGCATGTAAGAAAGAACGGCTGCATGAATGCATGAATGGAAAATGAATGAATGTGTAGATTTATGTTTATTACTGCGTATTGTATAATCGTACATATAAAATGTGTATATATATACATATATATGAATATGCACGCATGCATGTACGCGCAGGCAT